CTCCGTGCGCCGCATCTGCTCCTGCTCTTTGGAAGCCCTGTCCTGGGCACGGAGCACCGCAAGCTGCTCCGCACACTCGCGTGGGCCCGGCGCAGCAGCCAGCCACGGCGAGCTCGTCATGCCGGGCCCCTGCGCGAAGGACGGCGGGGGGAACATGCCCCCGCTCGACGGTGCAACCACAGGGGGAAACGGCTCTCCACCGCGAGTGAGAGGGATTAGCGCCTCCGGTCTCGGCTTGGCCCTCCTGCGGACCGGCGCACCACCTGGCGGCGGCGGTGGCGGCGGCGGCGGCGGCGGCGGCGGCGGCGGCGGCGGCGGCGGCGGTGGCGGTGGCGGCGGCGGCGTCCACGTCGTCTCGCCGGTGTTCTTGTTGAAGTAGTAGGCAACGCCATCCGCTGTCGTGTGCTTGGTCCAGTCCTCGCCCAGCTGCAGCTCCTCGCTCTCGCTCTCCTCCGCCTCCCCCGCCGCACGCCACTCGCGCGCCTCCTCCGCCTCAGCCGCCTTGCGCTCAGCTGCCTCGCGCCTGGACCTGATGTGCAAGTACCCGGACATCGCTGCAGACCCCGGTGTGGAGCCTTGGAAGGCGGCGGATGATTGGGAGATGAAAAAGGTGTTCAGTGATCTGGCTAAATGGGACTTTGGGCAGGTCCAGCAGTCGCAGGCAGCGCGAGCCGCGTGGTCAGAGCTTGGCAACTGGCATCTCTCGAACCCGGCCGCTGACACCTTTGTTGCCAGCAAGCAGGAGGTCATGTCGCAGGGAGCTGCTCTGCCCACGCTACCAGAGTCGTCCCTCTCTTGGAACAATCTGTGGTCTATTCTCAAGAGGAACGCTCCCGTGCCGCTGCAGCGCGCCCCCCAGCCTGCCGCCCCGCCGCCGCCACCAGTGGCAGGGCAGAGCCGGCGACACGATCGCGAGCATCTCGGCACTACATCCAGTGCAGCCGAAGCCAACATCGTCATTCACCCAGGGTATACAAAGGCAAATCAGGCGGAGGCGCGTCTTTTGGATGACCGCGTGCGGCATGCTTACGTGCGTGACAACTTGGAGAAGCAAGACGCCGTCTTCTTTGTCGAACTGGGGGAGCTCGAGGGGGAGTTGGCCGTTGGGCTGGCCCGTCGCACTTTCAACTCTGAGCAGGACAAGCTGCAGGACGAGGTGTACGAAATGCAGTGGTATCGCCGCAAATCTACGAACCACAGCTGGGGACAGGGGCCTACATTCAAGCTGGCTACAAAGACGGAGGGGCGACGCAAGGTGCCTGAGGTTGATATGATTTCAATTGATACGATCATCCCGCTCGCCGTCCAGATGACGCGTGGGTCGTCGTCAAGCAGTGTCAAGCTGACCAAGTGCTGCATGCAGGCTCTGCGCCAGCTGCACGACAAGGCTGAGACCCGAGGCTCCGAGTCTGGCTCTGCCTCCGCGGAATCTGAGGATGATTCTGACGACGATGATGCGCCCCGCCCCCCCTCTAAGCGCTGCCGCGCCGGCAAGAGCGTCCTCTGCAGTGATGATGAGGAGATTTGAGCTCCTCTCTCTGAGTGTGTTTGTTGGTTACTTAACTTGGCATACATCCTTAGAGTGCTACACGCACACACTCCACGTGCGAATGTGAACATGTTCTGTCGTCAACCGAGAGCTAACCGCCCCACCGCCCCAGCGCGGGGCATCGTGGTCACGGGAGTTGCACACGGCGCACCCAGCACGTGGTGCGGCCACTCCCACGCCGGCGGGGGCACACGCGGTGATGTGTGCATCTGATTTGCTCGCAAAATTGACAAGTTTGCAGGCAAATTGTCTGAAAATTTGACATTTCAAATCCATAAGAGTGACACTATGGATTCCGGGTGACACAGGTTCTCAAGCGATCCCACACTGGCGGCTGAGGGCCAAAAGCAAAACGCGCATCGCCACTCTCGCATCTCAGAGCGGTGTTATATCTCAGTAACCCCGCTCGATGGTGCTAGAGCAGCGTTCTTCAAGCTTAAACCCCACTCTACACAACACAGAGCAGCGTTTGCCTAACTAACAAGACTCCGCTCTGCAACCTTCATTCAGAGCGGACTCTTGCTCAGAAAAACACCGACCGACCAAACACGTTCGAGCGTAGCACCCGCGAGCGGGGTTGCTGAGATAGAACACGGCTCTGAGATGTGAGAGTGGCGTTGCGCGTTTTGCTTTTGGCCCTCAGCCCACACTGGTGAATTTTGGGGCGCTGTCTACCCCCTACCACAGACGCCAGTTCTGCCCATCCGCAAGTATCCCTACGAGGGCCGCCCCGATGGGGCGATGGTCGTGATGCGCCTGAGCGCTGGCTGTCAGGCTGTCAGGTGCTGTCAGGTGATCTGTCAGGCTGTCAGGCACTGTCAGGCACTGTCAGGTGCCTCTGTCAGACCAGCTGTCAGGTGCTGTCAGTGCTATCGGGTGCTATCGGGTGCTTGTCTGACATCAGAGGGGCTCCGTAGCTGTCGGGTGCTGTCGGAGCTGTCGGGTGTTGCTGTCAGACGCTGTCGGAGCTGTCAGAGCTGTCGGGCTGCTGCTGCTGTCAGAGCGACGCCGGTGCTGTCAGGTGCTGTCGGTTGGTGCTGTCGGGGTGCTGTCAGGCTCTGACACACTATCCACACTTATGACATTATCAAGAGGAGACCAGCAGGACTCTACTACACATACTCTCAGCCTCTCCTCCTTCACGGCGTGATCACGCCGCCGGCGGCGGCCGCCTGGGGAGCGCAGATGGCGGCGCAGGCGCAGGCGGCGGCGGCGGCAGCGCGGCACAGACGGCGGCGGCCACCCCACCCAGACGCCGTAGGCATATGATTGTAGGGCCCCAGAAGGCTAGCTGGTAGCTTCATTTGTAGTTGTAGCACAGCCGCGGGTCCGCAGAGGTGGGGCGGGAGGGTTGAGAGAGAGACCCATGAGGCATGACCATCCCATGACACTGCATGGACCACAGCACACTCACATGCACATGTACATGTGCATGACATGCACATGCTCATGTCTTTGCATGGAATAGTTTTGTTATACCCTCATGGGGCACAAGAAAGAGGCTGCACGGCCTGTGTACGGTCTGTGCTGCTGTCGGGCTGGTCGGGCTGTCGGGCTGTCAGCGCTGCTGTCAGGCCACTGTGTGCTGTCGGGCTGTCAGGCAGCTGTCAGGCTGTCACGTTAGGGCCTGACAGCGACGACGGAGCCCCTCTGATGTCAGACTCTGCTGTCAGGCTGTCAGATACGTGCTGTCAGACTGTCAGAAAAAGTGCTGTCAACGCTGTCAGGCTGTCGGGCCCACTGTCAGGCGCTGACCTGTCCGGGTTACTTTGCTGTCAGGCTGTCAGACCAGGGCTCAGTGATGCGCTTGACGGGCCACGACAACGAGCCAGCGCTGGTTGGACATGCGCTCCGTCAGCTCGCCCGAGGCCTGCTGCCTTCTCCAACTTGTCAACGCGTCCGGCAGCTGCGGCAAGACTTCTGCCTTGGCCACCCTTCTTGCTGAGGCAGCAGGAGGAGATCCGCTATCGGTCGGCCAGCGCGTCGTGGTGCCCTTCTCCTGCGGCCCGCCATGAGCGGCACCAGGACGCCACGGACGTCGTCAACAAGCACGGCAAGCGGTCTCACTTCACCATGACGACGCTGTGAGGAGTCTGGCACGGTGCTGCTACACGTGCGCCGCCCCCACTCCCACTGGGTCCATCTCCTTCTCCCTTTCTCGCACAGGTCGAACAGTGCGTGTCCGGAGCAGCGCCGACCCGCCAGACGCCGCCAGGGCGCGATCGCGATGCCTGCTGAGGGTCCTTGTTGACTCTTGCGATCGCAGCTGCGGGAAGCTCCCACCCACCCCTCCCACACGCGCTCCATGAAGCATCGATGATATATAGACATAGAAAGCTTGAACCATCAAAAGGTTAGTTAGTTAGTTAGGAAGGTGAAGAACAGCCAGGCTCGGACTGGACACCAACGCGGTATGGGTGGACGCGAGACAGATGATAACGAGACGCACGAGCGACACACAGACACATTATACAAACAAGCTCACAAGCAAGACACACAGCCAGCTTGGCTGCCACACACACCCTGAGTTGGCGTACACATAACTCAGGGCCACGTCCCCCCTGTCACCCCCCCCAGCACACACCGGTGCCAAGGGTACAAACAACAGCACAACAACAAAAGGTCTGGTCTCCAAAAAGAAACTACGGTCGACTCACCTCGCGCTTTTATCTTGGTCCGGGCGTTACATCACCGAATGTCGCCAGCGGCCTATCCGCACGCGCCGCCGCTGATCACAGGCGGGCAACCGACCATGCGACTGCGATCGTCTTCAGGAGCCTCCTCACCGCGAACAGAGGTAACAAAGCCACTCTCGCGGGCTGAGGTGCGTTGTGCCCAAAAGTGCTAAGTGGCAGCGCCCACCCGCGAGAATTGCCGAGAGCAGGAGGAGAAGAGGCAGGAGTGAGAGAAAGAAAACACCCCCATGCGCTCACCTCGTGTCCTCAATCGCTGGTCGCAGTTGTCATTCATGTCGCGCATGGACGACGATATTGGAGCACGGAGGCACACCCGCTTTCTCAACGAGATCAGTGAGCGCTCCCACTCCAGAGGCGACCACAATCACACCCGCCCCTTCTGAGCTCGCCACCTCTCCCGTCACAGAAAAGCATCCTGATTTCAAACCGAGCATGCTGGCGCCACCCAAGAGCAAGCTGAAGCCGGTCGACCTCTCTGGCTCGGGCCCGATCATGCGGACCCACAGCTCCGACAAGACGGGGCGAGAGAGGGGGCCGCTGGGGGAGAGGTACAAGTGGGGCCCTCTTGGAGGGTGGTGTTGAGGGAGGTTTAAATGACTAAACATGACAGTGACTAAACATGACAATACACGCCGAGGGCCCTGCGCAGCCCCCACGTACTCGGCACGATACACGCCATGAGTCCCCTGAAGTGCCTCTTCAAATGATGATGTCTGCGCTATGATATCTAGCTCTCGGCACTCTCGTGCATCAGCTCAGCCGACCGAGATATCCTCCCTGATGAACTCCATGTCCTCCGCCATCTGGAACTCATCTCCCCTCGGCGCTTCTCGCTCCTGCGACTGCGCCTTCTCCGCGAATTCGATCGTCGCCCGGGCCGCCGCAAGGTTGGTCGCGGTGACTCCGTTCGCCTCGGCATCAGCAAGCATGAAGCGGGCTGAGGGAAGATCAATCTCCAGCGGGGCAGCGTCCAGGACCTCCTCGAGTGCGACGAGGGCGTCCTCTCTCTTCTGCTGCAACTCCGCCTCCTTCTCGACCAGCGCCACTACCGCCTCCAGCTTATCCTCATCCACGCCTGCCTGCCATGCCTGACGAAACACATCCTGAGCCTGCACAACGTCCATCTCGCCAGGGGGGCACTCAGCAAGGGCCACCAGCTGCTCCCACGCCGCATCGCGCTTGGCTTGTGCCTCCACAGCGGTCTCGACATGCCGGCTAGCGCTGCCAATCAGCGACTCCTCGACGCCTGCGGCTCGGGCCTCTGAGAGCCGCTTTCGGCCGTCTGCCACGTCGAGCGAGAGAGGCTCGGAGGTGCTCACGTCTTGCAAGGCCTGCCTGGCCTCGTCAAGCCTGCGCTGCGCCTTTGCTGCCTCCTCCACATGCATCTCTGCCTTATTGACCATGGCCGCGCTCGCCCCTTTGCTCCGCATCTCCGCAATCTCTTCCTTTGCCTCCTCGACGTCGACGTACTCCTTTGGAGTCTCTAGCAGTCGCTCGAGTGCCTGGTCGGCCACCGCGGCGGCGGCCTGCACAGCCTCGGCGAGGGACACGCGCCCCACTGACACTTGCATCACCTCATCCGACACCCCGGCCGCTTGGCCGGCGGCGATCGCCTCCTTTAGCGCCGCGACATTGACGGCAACAGCGTCCTGCTCGTTGAGGGTCTTGAGCTCCTCCGTCAACCTCTCGCGCTCCCGCATTGCCTTCTCAGCAGCCTTTACCTTGGCCTCGAGCGGGGCGATTGCCGCCGCATCCAGACCCGCTGCTCTGCCCTCGCGAATGGCTGCCTGTGCGTCCTCGAGCCTCAACGTAAGGGGAGGCACCTCGGAAAACGCGTCGACGGCCGCCTTGGCAGCATCTGCGCGAGCCTTCGCCGCCTGACGCGCAGCAGCCTGCTGGATGAATTTGTCTGCGTCGTTGAGCAAGCTCTTGGCAACAGACGCAGCGGCCGCGGCGTCTCGTGATGCGCGCAGAGTGTTGAGATCTGCGCTGAGCTGCTCCGACTCGAGTGCTGCTCTCAGCGCGGCGGTGGCCTTGTCTCGCGCACGAATCGCCTCCTCGGCCGAATTGAGTGTTTTTGATGCTGACTCGAGAAGCGTCACATCGACATCGGGCACGGTCCTCGCCGCCTCGAGGCATCGTTTCGCCCGGGCCGGCTCGACGTCGAGGAGTGGCGTGGAGGCCAGTGTCGCCAGCTCTGCAAGGGTCGACTGCTGCGCAGCTCCGGCCGTCTTGATGCACTTTGATGCCTTGCCTAGAAGCTGCTCTGCGACGCCGGCAGACCGGCCGTCCTCTACAAGCTGATCTGCCTCGGCGCGCCGAATGAGCAACGGCTTTTGCTCGAGCAGCAGCTTGAGCTGAGCCGAAGCGGCGTCGCGTGCCGCTTGAGCCTTCTCAACCGCACACCGATGTAATCGGCACACCAATCGCTCGAGGTTGCACGTCACGCTAGGTCGCAGCGCTCTCGCCGTCGCGTGCGGGCGCGGCGGAGCGGGCGGTGGGGGCGCTCGGACGGAGCGGGCTCGGCCCCGCAGGTCCCGCCACCTCGCCCGGCCGCGGAAGAGGCAGGCGCGACGCTGAAGAGGGATTTCGCGTGTGGCATTGTAGGCGTTTGAGGGAGGCGGCCGGCAAGCGCCAGGCGACGCGCCGGCTGCACACCCCGGCCCGGAGCGTCCCGATTGCAGCCTGATGCGTTGCCATCCTAGGCGTCGCGAGGTCGAGCACGCCAGAGCTGTGATGACCAACCCGTTGACGTGGGTGGGGCGTGGGGCATCCCTCCTGGCGAGCGGCCGGGCGGCGCAGCGCGCAAGCCGCGGAGTCGACAGGACGTCACAACGCGACGGCCGCGAAGGCAGGGGGGCGGCGACGAGGGAGGCGTGGCCCGTGCCCGTGCTGAGCACGGTGGCGGCGCCGGCCGGGGCCGACGTCGAGCAGCTGTACCGTCCGGCGTTGCCGCCCTCGAGGGCGTCGCTGCGCGAGGCGGGGCGCCGGCGCGCGGAGCTCAAGCAGGCGGAGGCCGAGGCACCGGCCGCGATGAAACGCAGGCGGGAGGAGGAGTGCGTCGAGCGGGAGGCGGAGCTTCTTGCGCCGCTGGCGGCGGCGGACGCGCCGAGGGGCAAGCGGCGGCGAAGCGTGCTCGCTGCGGCCGTCATGCACGAGGCGATCCCGGACGGACAGGCAGCGGTGCACGAGGCCAAGCCGGTGGGGGCTCACGGTGCCAAGAAGTGCAGGGAAGTGATCCAGCGCTGGCGGGAGTTCGAGGCCGCCATGACCGAGGGGGACGAGGTCACGCGCAGCAACTGGCGGGCCGGCATGAGCGCCGGCTATCCGTCGACGCAGCTGACGCTCAAGTTCATTAAGTGGCTGCTCGTCACACGCATTTATCAGTCGCACTCGACGCGGCGAGATGGACGCGAGATGATCGGCCGTGTTAGGAGTGAGTACCTTACAGAAACAAGTTTCTTCCGTTGTACTTGAGCACTTGAGCACTGGATAGGGTCGATTCCGCATGGTACGGGACCCCTCGATCGTCTCGCCCTCCCTCGCTGGTGTGCTCATTGGTTGGGGGGGGGTCATAACAAACACGGTCGGTACAGGATCGAGGTGCACGCTGCCGAAGCAGTGTCGTCCCCCCTCTCCCCGACGGTGATGGCGGTGTGACCGATCGAGCTACAAGAGGAGCTTGTTCCATTGTATTGTTTCTCTCTCTCCATTGTACTCTCTCTCTCTCCATTGTATGTGTACTTTTAGCTTACTGGGAGAAAAGAGAGAGGGGGTTGTGTTCTCTAGGCCCCTAAGGGCCCTACGCGCGGCGTGAGAGCTCGGAAGCGAGCTTTGCACGGCGATCGAGGATGGCACGGTTCACCCCCTTCACCGAAGCGATGGAGATGCGTTCCGCGTGGTGTGACACAAATGAGAGGCGGGAGTGGGGAGGGTACGCGGTGCGGTCAACGCCCGAGCGTTGAGCCTTGCGCGCAAGGCGGTTGATCTTTGCAACTGCTGGCGGCGAGAAGCCGCCGCCGAATGTCTCGTGGAGAAGCAGGTTGAACTTGTTTCGTTTGGTGAAGATCCCATCATGGTAGTGGCCACGCTGCGACTTGACGTAGCCTTGGCCGGTGATGTGGTCGAACACCCGTTGACCACGGAACCCGCGTTGCTTGCAGCCCATGTTGGAGCACTGAAACAAAGAGAAGTATTGCAGCAAGGAGGGCGGAGCTGCGCCGAAAGGCGAAAGAAGCCGAGAGAACAAGGGAACGGCAGGCGGCGGCGCAGGACGAGGCAGAAGAGAATGACGCGACAGAGGAGGAAGTGACAAGGGAGAGAACGACGAGAGTGGGACGGCCGCGAGGTGGCATGAAGGTTGCAGCGAGAAGCGGCGAGAGACTGCGAAAAGAGATAGGAAGAGGCAGACTCCCTAGGGTGGGCGACGGCTAGCGCATCACACCCCTCTCCTTAAAATCCCTGTGTGGTGGCGGCGTGCCGTCCTCCCATCCCTCCCTTGGGTTGTCTGTTTTCTTTCTTTCTTTCTTTCTTTTAAACAAAAGAACAAAAGTATTCCAGGGAGATTATCTGTCCCTCCCCTATCCTGGTTTGAGTTTTCTTTGTTTCTTTCTTTCAGTATTCCAGGAAACACCTGTGGCAATCCCGTCGTCAGCTGTCACGATGCACCCGAAGGGGACCCCAGCGCCACGGCCAGCATCATCCGTGGAGGCACAAGTGTTCGAAGAGAGAGTGGACCTGAGCAACGATATGACGGGTGGCAAATGATAGCAGTGGGCGTCAGAAGAGTCGTCCTTGCGCGAGGAGAGCTCGATAAACTCGAGGGGCCAAAATATGCCGCTAGGAGGGCGGAGTTGCGCCGAAAGGCGAAAGAAGCCGCGAGAACAAGGGATCGGCAGGCGGCGGCGGCGTCGTAGAACGAGGCAGAGGAGAGCGACGCGACAGAGGAAGAAGCGACAAGGCCCTTGACAAGGGAGAGAACGACGAGAGTGGGACGACCGCGGGGGGGAGAAGGCTGCAGCGAGAATCGGCGAGAGACTGCGAAGGGAGATAGAAAGAGGCAGACGACCAAGGGTTAGGGTGGGCGACGGCTAGCACCACACTCCTCTCCTTAAAATCCCTGTGTGGTGGCAGCGTGCCGTCCTCCCATCCCTCCCTTGGGTTGTCCGTTTTCTTTCTTTCTTTAAGTATTCCAGGAAGGAAAATGTGCGGAGCTATCTAGCCATCGTCTCCGTAAAGAAAGAAAGAATTTAAACAACAAAAGTCGCTCTCACAGCAGAAAGAATTTCAGCAGGACTGTCGCGCACAACGCTGGGCACCGCGGGACTGGCGCGCACTGTAGATATAAAGCAATGCGCCTTAAAAGGAAAAAGACGTTAGGTTAGGTACAGAGGATCTCGCGGCACGCCGCCGTTTCTAAGCCTTTCCACCCACCCCACCCACCCCACGCCGTGGTTTCTTAGCTTCGGCCGGCACCCCAGGTCAGAGCCGGGATCTAGGAATGTTTAGGTAAAATGACAATAATGGACCGCTCCGGATGTCGCCAGTCCGCAGTCTGCCACCCGCACTTGGGATGACAGGAAGACGCACACACCTCCATCCACACCGCCCAGAACACCGCAGACTTGGGCAAAATGACAAGTGCGCGCGCCGCAGGCGAAGAGAAAATGTGAGCGGGGCTCCTGTTCACAGCCTTGTAGGCTTGTTATGAGAAGAAAATACGTCCTATGGCGCTATGCGCTGGTCTGTGAGAGGTTGAGGTGCGAGCCCTGGAGGCCCTGGGGATGTGGGTGGGGTTCACACTCGTGTGTGGGCCCTTTCTTGGGGCCGCGCCTGCGGCGCGCCGTGGTTTCTTATATTTTTGCGGAAATCGCTCGGCATGGTTTCTTAATGGGACGTTTTCTTAATGCCCGCAACAGACTGTAGGAACGTGAAGAACAGAGAAAGCGGGG